TCTCAGCAATGTTGAGTGAGGGGTAGTCAAAGTCATCTTCTTGTGAGTTCAACGACTTGACGAGCCCATTCGACGTCCGCTTGGTCCCTTGTGTAGTTGCCCCAATGGCGGTTTTCGTCTCGTTTCCTACAGGACGCGTCGACGATGTCTTGGGCCCAGGGCGGTTGAAGGCGTTTCCGAGCGAAGCCTGCTTGTAGGCGTTGTTTGGGGGTGATGTAGACGCGATGGCATTGTGGTTCTGGACCGCCGACTTAAACATGGTAGTCGTCGTGTGCGGGCGAGTGGAGAGGTAGCCGAAGTAGTGGCGGGGTGGTGTTGTGGGCGAAGTGGTCGGCGGCTGCAGGTGTGATGTCGAGAAACGCGTACGCGGAAGGTGCGTGAGGGACCGTGTTGGAGGCGAATGCGTCCGAGCGGGATGTGGGATGCAAAAGAGCGGCGACCGTTTCGGATTGTACGGTTTAAGCGACGCACCTCTCTTCCCGAGGGTGGCAAGCATACAGCAAACAAAGAGAGCGCCGACAAAAGAAAGGATTACCGAGATGATGTCGAGTGTGTGCATGCCATCCGGCGCGGTGGGGTGTGAATGTTAGCATCAATTAGCGGACGGGCCCACAAAACGCGACACGACGTCTCAATGCGGATGCGCTAGAACAATACGTCACGTGCCGTCATCACAACGGTGTTTCTGCGGTGTATCTGAAAGCTTGATGGAACATGCAGGATCCCAGGCACCTTGACGCAGGTACAGAATTTGGCTGCCTCTAGGCGGCTCTATGACGTACTGTTGCAGACCTCACTTTGGCGAGAATACGTGTTGTGTGCTTGTGGCTTCAGTGCCTCGTACCATTCTATTACGCCTCCGTCACCATCAGTACTACCATCTAGTCCACAGTATAGTATACTATCCAAAGTCATACCGCGACGACCAGCGCGCGCCACAAGAAATCCACTTCCGGTATCATAAGAACTCGCTTTGGTATCAAGAAGAGAATTCGCTGGTATCAAGGAGAAGATTCAACGTCATAATAGATAGTGAAGGGGTAATCAGAGCCGAGGCCTGAAGCAACAGAAAACTAACACGAGATAGGAGATTCATTTTGAACCAAACGACCGTGAACCAGATCCCACAAGAAATGTACCAGCCATGCCATAAGACAACAACGCTTGCACCATTTTGGACAACGGAATTAATAACGACTCCCTAAGAACATAAAACCGAGTAGCTGATGAAATATGACCAGAAATCGGAGCTATCCAAAACAGCGCCCCCGTAAGCAAACAGGCGTGTTGGGACAATAGAGGGCACAGCGCTGAAGAGACAAATCTAACAAACGAGGTGCTTAGCCCTGGTATCCTCCAAAGCCATTCTGGTTGAAGGCTGCCTGGGGAGATTGGCCCCATTGAGGTTGTTGGGGAGCGCCACGGCCGTAGCCACCAGCGCTGCCTGGCTGCTGCATCTGCTGCTGGTAAGGCATGCCAGGGTTGCCAAAGGCTTGCTGCTGTTGCGCGAAGGGTTGTCCGCCGGGGCTGGGTCCTGCCCGCGCATTAGATTGCTTGTTTCGATACTGCAGCTTCCTCCGGTGCCGCTCACCTGAGGGTGACATGGGACCACCTTGTGGCCCACCACCATACTGAGGAAAGTACGCGCTTGGCGTCTGAGGATAAGCTGAGTTGGGCCCGCCCGCAGGCGAGTAACCCTCAAACTGGCCAGTCGGAGGACGGTCTTTGCCCCACTATATTAAAAATGTGAGCTAAGAAATAACAAAAGAGAACGAATCAACCTACGCTGCACTTCAGAGGACGGCCATTGACGTTGTAGCCGTTGAGCTGGCAGATGGCCATAGCAGCATTCTCATGAGTGTCCATCTTAATGAAGGCAAATCCGCGATCAGACTGGAAGCGGGTTTCGGTGACATAACCAAAGTTCTGGAAAAGCGGCACAAGGTCAGATTGAGAAGTGTAAGGAGTGAGGTTTCCGACGTAGCACGTGGTCTGCCACTGAGGAGTCTGAGCAACGACCATGTCGTAGCTCTGCACGCCATGGGTGGGGAAATGGTGGTGTCCGAAGGGAGTGGTCGGCGTCATACCCATGGAAGCCATGGCCTGCTGCTGGGAAATGGAAGGCTGTCCTTTCTGGTTGGCCCAGTTGCAGCGGATAGCGCGAGAGCCAAGCCACTCTCCGTCCATAGAGCTGAGAGCGCGATCAGCATCGGCGCGATCCCTAAACGCGACGAATCCGTAACCACGCGACCTGCCCGTCTTCATGTCCCACATAACGCGAGCCTCGGAAACGGGACCAAAGGTGGAGAAAGCTTGGAGGAGAACCTCGTCATTGACTTCGTTGGAAAGGTCACCGACGAAGATGTGGAAATGGTTAGATGTGTCTTCCTTGGCTGTATTGTTAGATTGGTAGGCCCAGTTAACACGGATTTCCTGTATCTGTCAGAACCGCCAGCACGTAATTGTCGAGCGCGCTTACGTTGTTGTGGATGCGGCGGCCGTTGAGGGTGGCCATACCACGCTCGGCGGCGCCAGGGTCATCATACTCGACGAAACCGTAGTTGAAGCCCTTGGAGTTGAACTGTTAGCGGTCAGCGGCACATGAATGTTGCAACACTTGCAAGATAAGCCCGGCCAGCTGTCAAGAGTTATGCAGCAGGTGCGGAGTGTTATCTTACAGAAGGAGAACTTGCAGTCTTGTCTGGGATAATCTTGACGCTCTGGACATGGCCAGTCGTCTCGAAGATCTGACGCAACACGTCCTCGGTGACCCGCGGGTCCAGTCCACCAACATATAGCGCCCGCTTGTTGGGCTCGGGGGCGGCGCGACGGGGGACGTAGCCAGGCTGGCCGCTGGTCGGGCTCATGGGGTTGCCCGACATGGGCGAGCTGATGGCGGTCGGGATGGGGTTGTTGTTCTGGGGGATAATGACGGGTGCAAGCGGCGGCGGCGGCATGTGCTGCTGCGGCTGGCCCTGGTTCTCGTAGCCGGGAGCGCCAGCGGAAGGGGGAGGAGGCAGCTGTGCCCCGGGGTTCTGCTGGTCGGCCATGGCTGCTGTCGCGGGGATGCGCACAAAAGTCGAGTCGCAAGAGGCGCAATTGGCGGCGGCGGGTATCGAGGACGTCGGCGGTGATGCGACGGTCAGGGCGACGAGGCCACGGGGAGGTCGAGGCTGGCGGGCGGGGTGGTGGCAGCTGGGTAGGCGGCAAGGAAAGTCAGTATGGAAAGCGCGACTAAGGCTACCAATAGAGAGCGGACAGCACTAGGAAAGGCAAGGGAAAACAAGAGGAAGAGAGATAGGAGAGACGAGCGCTGCGCCGAGCTGTGACGGCAAAGCTATAATCTCCACTGTGGGGTGAAGAAGGAGAGGTGTGAGAGGTGAGCGGGCGAGTTCGAAGAATTAGCGCCGCAGGCCACAAGGCACCCGAAGGAGCGGGAGCTATGAACGTAGTACCGTACTGCCGCTAGCCCAGCCTGCTAGCGGACCCTCTTGAGGTCCCGCGCCGAACCCATCACTGACACACGGCCGTACCTTTGCCTAGCACCTGCATGCCCATCATGGCCACCGCCGTAAACTCCACTCAGCACCTGGACATGCTCCAGAGCATGCTCAATGCTGTGGTATGTCCGGTCACGTGTCTGCTTCTGCGATCGCGCTAACATGCATAGTTCCTCCATTCTGGGCGCTTTCTCAAAGAGGAGCAGGCGGGCGGCGGCACCGGGCGCATGAGGCAGCAGCTGCAAAAGGTCGTGCCTTCTGCCACTGAGCGCTTTCACGATGCGCTCGACGAGCTCGAGAACGAGGTCCGCCTGGCGCAGACTGTCCTGCGCCGCGACATGGCGCTGCTCAAGCAGGACCGAAAGAAGAAGGAGGCCGCAGCGAAGCAGCACGAGGTCGAGAAGGCGCGACTGGCAGCGGAGGCGAAGAATGTCCCTGCGCCCGTCGAGGAAGAGCCAGTGAAGGTCGAAAAGGTTGCGACACCAGCAGCGCCCGAGCCAGCCGTGTCGCAACCAGAACAGGCGCCCGAGGCAGCGAGCGCAAAGGAGCCCGAAGCAGAAGAACCCCCGAAGAAAGAAGACGACGCGAAAGACGCGAAAGCGCCACCGCCGCCGCCCATCGAGACCGACGTCGAGCCCCCGAAAGACCCCCTCTTCGACGGCACGCCCACCACCGGCAACGCGCAAGAGTCCGAGTTCGACTTCGATGCCATGTTCGGCGACGCGATGGACACATCGGGCGACAACCCGCACCACGACATGATGGATACTTCGGGCGACATGGACTTCAACCTCGATGATGGCAACGACGGACCCTCGCTACTCCGCGGTCTCGAGGACTTCGCCAAGGACAGCGATGACGACGCGAACCAAGCCTCGGCCATGGACATTGACTTCACCATGTCAGATCTGCCAGGCTTAGATATGAATACCGACGCGACAGCGAACACGAGCGATAATGCGACAGCTGCAAAGCCCGCAGAACCAGAGCCCGAGCCTGCAAAGGCCGAGGAGCCCAAACCCGCCGAACAGCCGCCGGTCGAGGAGAAGAAGGAAGAGCCGATCACTACTACCAACGACGAGATGATGGACACCATGACTACGGATAACCTCGAAGATCTCTTCAACATGGAAGAATACGAGAACCCCGAGCAGTCGCAGTTCGACGACGCCTTCTTCAACTTCGAGTAGTAATCGGTCTTGCATACATGGCGTTAGTTTACAGAATTGCAGCACTGGGTATCGCTTGCACGGTATTGCAGGACATGGGTGGGCTCACGGCATTGGGATTACGGCGTATTGGAAGCATTTTGATACCCCAGCATATACCAGGAGGTAATTGTGAGACATTGAATGGAGTTTGTATACCCAGACCATCATGATAACACGCCGACCCATATTCATGTAACCGCTAACCTTTCCTCTGTGGCACTCCACTCCGACTGCTTCTTTCCCGGGATCCTCTGCAAAAGCTTTCTCAATATCTACATACACGCCTACTTCAGCTAGGCCTTGTCCCCTGGCCCTTGGTCGAGCTTCCTGGCATGATGCCTTTTAACGTTCGCCCAAGCATCGTCATCCTCAGGTAGTCGCTTTTCGCCGCTTCCTCATCAGACTCGTTATCAGTACTTTCAACGTCCGTGCAAGCATCCTGCTTAGCTACTTTCTTGTCCCTCAGCTCTTGATCCAGACGCACATAATCCACATTAGAGTATCCGCTAGTATGCGCGTAAGCGCCCGACTTATCTGGGCCCTTGTCCCCCACCGTCTCCGTCAGCAACTCCAGGATATCAGTGTATCTGCTCAGATTGTTTGTCTTGTGCCTAAGCTTCAACACCTCCCTATCCCAGGCTGATTCTGGACCCCACTTTCCTCCCCATTTCTTGCGTCCTTCTGCGATCCTTCTCATATCGGTCAAGCTCAAAGAAATGAGGTAGAGTACTTGAAGGACTGTGCTCCGCGCGTGAGATATTCTCTCTCGTTGGTGGCTCTTCCACGCGCTCTCCTTTTCGGAGTTCTTGAACTTCACAAGCTTCCCTTCAACACGGTAACTGTCCTGTAGGTAGTCCTCGTTCCTCTCTGCCCATCTCCTCAGGACGAATCTTTGGCGGTCGATCTCTTCTGGCGGTGCACGCTCGATCATATGCTGAGCTTCAGCGACCGTTAATGGGCCCGATATGCTGGGGCATGGAGCCTCGATGGCTTCACAAGGTGGTGTTTCATGTATCTGCTTATTCGCCAGCTCCTTTGCCAGATTAAGCTTTTTAAGAAGCTCCTTGAAGTCGTCCTTGCATCTTTCGAGTGCTAATTCGATGTTGACGCTCACGCTGAGTTTGGAGGGTTCTTCGGCGACTTGGCCAGATGATGGAGCGTAGGTTTTGTCTTTTGACTGCGTCGTTGCCATTATCGTTATCTCGGTCTAGTCAGCTCTGTGACGGTTTCAATATTCAACGTGCCGAAACGAGGCTGCTGCTTTGGAGGTAGGTGTTTGAGTCCTCGCTGCAGACCCGGCTGGTGAAGAGGTGGGTATGAGGAAAAGAAGTAAATGTGTATCGATTCTGACTTTTTAAAGTAGATGTCATGACTGTTCATCAAGACTCATGGAGTGACTGGCAAGACATGAATCACAGCATGAGATTATGACGAGTCAACAACCGGGTTGAGCTCCATCCCAAGCGTTTCGCATGCATGAAAGTCGCCGATGAAAGATGTTCATATCATACATGGAGTATCATTAGATTATACTACTAACCCCGCTGTGCATTCCGCCTTGGATGGCATGCCTTCCTTCGTTAAATGGATGCCGTGCCCTCCTTAGTTCCTATTTCCAAGTCCTCCAATCCCTTCATGATAACAGGTTCGTCAGTGACAGGATCCGTGTAACGGCTCTGACCATATGCTGGAGTGTCATCCGGAGACGACACCGGTTTGGTGCAACTACCAAGCCCGTACGCGTCTGTCACTCCCTTCAAATCCTCGTTGCGGCTAGCAAGGGAATTGACATACTGTTGTAGTTCTGTCGCTGAGTTGGAATGCGAGTCGGTGTCCGAGTCTGATAGTTCCTGGTCTTCCCCTGGGATACGCTCTCCCGTAATCAATGGAACCATCTCCTGCAACATCGCTTCGATCTTTCGGAGCTTTTGGCAAACGTCTTCGCATGCTTTGTTGCCCTTCGTGTACATCAATCTGTACTCGAGAGAGTATTTACCCTGCGAAAGAAGTCCGGTGTCAAGAGCCCAGCTTTCTAGATCGCGAAGTTCATGCTGAATAGCTTCGGGTGATGATAATTTCTGCTTAGTTCTTTCCTCAGCCCTGTCCAGGTGGTCAATAGCTACTGCGTACGCTTCCAAGCATGTTTGATGATATGTTTCGATAGTACGGCAAGCATCGCCTTCCAGGCCGCTGGGGGTATTGCTTGGCTGAATCAATCGCTCCAATGTCTTAATTTCCCGTCCAAAATTGCACACAGTCCCCCACGATTTCGGTGTTGACGATAAATTGGGATGCAAGTCTTCTTGTGTTCCATCGTTGGACTGCCGCTCCTCGAGCAGACGAATTAGCCTATACTGCATATGCTTGAGATACTCGATTATTGAGAGTTGGTCCTCAAATCTTGCATTGCAGAAGTCATACTCCAAACCTTCTTGGTTGTTGCGTTTTGGAGAGTCCTTGTGGTATCCACGAAGTCTTGCTTTCTTTGCCCATTCTTTTAATGCTTCGTTGTCTCTGCACCAGCTACTTCCAGGTGGCAACTCTCTTATCTTGAAACAACCATCAGGTTCATCGAAGTGGTACACGATCTGCCAATATTGCCAGATACAACTTTCGGTAAGATCTCTAGCGAGGTCTACCACTGCGGCACGTCGTGGAGGCAAAAGCGCAGCCGCATTCTCGTCATGCGCCCAGCCTTTGGAGGGCACTTCATCCTCAAACTCCTCATTATCTCGAAATGAGTACCAAATATACCAAAGAAAACAATTGTTGTCATTGAGTAACTTCAGGCTCTCTTTGCGCTCTGTCTCCGCCCGTGAAGTCTGGTCTTGTTGTACTGATGAATTGAGCGATCGCGGGCCCGATCTCGAGTCTGACTCTGAGAACGATAGACCGTCATCGAAAACGGCGGTTTGTTGTTTAATTGCCTCTATCCAAGCCACAGTATTTACCATTTGGAGGAGTATGTCTATGATCTGGTGCTGTAATTCAGGGCTCCCGCGAAGTCTGTGGTCAAAAGAGGCCTCATTTTCTTCAAGTACTCCGGCATTCCTCGCCCATTTTTCCAAGCAATCACGCTCCCGGTAAAGACGATCGAATAATCCATGCTCCTGCTGGTCCTCTGGTTTGCTGATGCTCTCAAGGGCCGAGGTGTATGCAGTAATGCAACTTACATACACCGTCTTGATAGTGTAAGCTGAAGTGTTTATCTGAGTGCCAGGCTCATCGAGGCTGACCAATCGCTCCAATCTATCAATGAATGACTGCAGTTCACGGAAGTCCACGAGGAACTCAGGGATTTCCACAAGCTTCAAGGGCCAGCCTTGACGAGCTCTACTTCTTGAGGACTTCCGCTTCTCTCTGACGAGTTCGGTCATACTCTTCAGGACTTCGTCCATATCTTTTAGAGATTGGTCGACCGCTTTTTGTTTTTGTGGATCAAGGTTGCGGTAGTCTTCTTTTGGTGTCAGCCACCTTATGGTTGTTGATCTCTTTTGTTGTGCTCTTGGTGGGAACTTGTACACGTTTGCGTCTTTTGCCCATCCTCGAAAACGTGAGTACTGTGTCTCAATGATCTTCGGTGCACGTTTCCGACCTTGGAATCGCTTGCTGGCGTGTCTGAGAGGATCTCGGATGTTGTATTTGTATATTTCCAAACGATGTCGAGTAAATAAACGGACTTTTCGTACGGCCAAGTCCTGCTCCTTTTCCCCAGCATCGAAATCAGAATCAGATGATGTTGAAGCAGTAGTTGCTTCGGCAATATAGCGATCCAGGTCTGTTGCTTCTGCCATATCGTATGTTTGTTTCGTTCGATGGCCCGTATATCGAGGTAGCAGAGGGTTGCCTTTCGGAAGCTTTGATCGAAGTGAAGAGTTTATTTGCTTCTCATCTTCTTAAATACATGCTGTGACTGTTCCAATCGATGACTGCTATGTAGACTCATCATTTCATGGATCAGTATGGTGACTCCGACTCCAGACCACCATAGCTCAGAATAGAGGCGACCCACAGATACCTGCATCGTTGTTTCTCAGATCGCTAGACCTGACTGCTTCGTAAGGTTCACATAGTGACTAATGAGCATGAATCAGAAAATAACAGTCATTGAACTGAGGCTGAGCAGTGTATAGCTGTCATGTGCGGCATCATCCTCCAATGCACGTCTGTCTAGTTCAATACCTCACCCAGATCAATTAACGTATATTAAAATTTCCTGCAGCCGTTGTCCCATTGATAAATCTGCCATTTCAAGTGGTACCATGATGTCGATCAAACATGATTCTTTACTCGATCTTAGGCCTTCCGCCGATGACTATCCACTGTATTGTTCTGCCCGCTTGCCGTATTTGCCGCATCTAGCCTGGAATGATCCATGGAGACACTCGCATTTGTTTCATGCGTGGAGGCTTCAGGAGGCAACTGGCCCGGCGGACCATTTCTGCGCGTCATCTAGATCCCAAGAGAAGCCTGGCTTTCGGCAAGCGAGCCTAAAACTTGTTTGAAGGTTATTTTCTGTGAATTTGGGTGGCTCAAAGAACCGTATGCTGTCGTAGGGACACGGGCCGATCCTGAGACCGATCCCAAGTCTAGTTTTGAGGCCAGTAGTTCTCTTGGGTCGGCCTTTTCTTGCGCGATTTCGGCCATCATTTTGAGCGCAGTTTCGATGTTAAGGAGTGGCCTCAAGACATGCTTTAAGACCTGGCGTCTCGATTTGGAACTTGCGCGAGTTTCGTAGTCGAGAGAGACGTTCTCTTTCGAACATACTCCGGTTATTTCCGCCCATGTGATTAGATCCTTACACAGGCGTCCAGTAGCTTCGAGTACCGGTTCGCTATTTATCGGCTTATCCAGGTCGTCGATATTGCTCCACATCTTCCCGTAGGCGGCTAGGCAGCGCTTATACATCGTCGTTGCTTTGGTCGATTCGATCCAATCTTCAAGCTTCTTGTTGACCATAGCTAGCTGACCAAACATCTCGCTCACGGTCGGCTCGGGCCTGTTCCTCGGAATCATTGTTTTTATCGTTGGAGATGTTAACTTAACGTCCTCTCCAGCTTCGTATCGGTACTCACCGGTATCCTCATCTTTGTCATATTTATTGATTTGGTGTACTTGCTGAATGCAGGCCGTAGTAGAAGGATCTAGGAAGGAATGGTGAGAGCGGAAAGTCTATTCTGCTATTCATCTTCTCAAATACTTACAATGACTTTGCAGCAACTGTGTATGACCAGTCTCTACTCAATCGTCATGAATCAAAAGCGTCA